CAGAGGCGGTGGAGCAGGCCAGTGCGTGTTCATCTTTCCAGCAAAACGCACTCTTCACAATTAGAGTTAACTGAGAAACTGTTTGCGATCTTACGGGCTGAGAGAGTGAAACAGGGTGGCTTTGGAATCATGGGGCTCCTGTACTGGGATTACAAGTATGTGCTACCAGGCCTGGAGGGAATCTGTTTTCTGTAGTTTGTGCAGGGGCTAGAGACTAGGAATGTGGGCCTGTCGAGTAATTAAGCTGTCCATGGTAAGCTTAACAAACACTGGATTCTGGCCCTTTACTCATGTTTGAGGACTAATGTTGGTGGCAGTAATTTCAGGCTGAAGAGCCTGCTTTTAGGAAGAGCGCTGTGGTGGTTGTAGTGAGGGAGAATGTTTCCGAAGAAGGCTGTGTGGTGGTTCCATCTACTGGAGATGAAAGACTGAACTAGGACAGGACTAATAAAAGAGAGGAGGGGATGTTAACTAGCTTGGGAAACCCCGTAGGGGAACTGCTGCAGCCCGTTCACCGTTAGGTTTTTAGTTTACTGGGTGATGTCACCGATCCTTAAAAGTTGATGCTGATGCGGTGGGAGGTAGATCTCCCTCTCTCTCTCTCTCTCTCTCTCTCTCTCTCTCTCTCTCTCTCTCTCTGTCTCCCTCCCTCCTCCCCCCTCTCTCTCACACACAAACCTTCTTTCTCACATGTGAATGTACCTGCTTTCAGATACCTTGCCTGTGACTCTCCTGGAGGCAATTCATGGCCAATCTTGTTTCATCCTTTCCTCTGCGCCACCCTCCCCGCCGCACCCCCTCCCCGTTATTTGGTGGATATCTGTGGTGTTATTTTATCAATAAATATTTCAGTATATTATTCATAAAAATAAGGATTCTTCATTAAAACAAAATCATAGTGTCAGTGTCGTGCCTTTAAAAACTTAATAATAGGGCAGGCAAGATGGCTCAGCAGGATGGTGTCACTCACATTCTAGGTGTTTCTCCCATAATCCTCTCTGGAAATGCCTTCACAGATACACCCTAAAAGGTGCTTTACTAACGTTGGTGCTTCTCAACTCAATCAAGTTGATAAAATTAACCATTAGAGAGAAGGGGTATTCCCCCAACCCCAGTGCAGAAATATGCCCAGCCTGCAAAGCTTCTTTTCTTTTCCTTCCTTCCTTCCTTCCTTCCTTCCTTCCTTCCTTTCTTTCATTCTTTCTTTCTTTCTTTCTTAGGCTGTATCTAAATATATATCCTAGGTTAGTCCCAAACTCAAAATCCTGCTGCCTCTGTGTCCTGAGTGCTAGTATTCTAGATGTGTACCACTATGCTCCAATTTCTATGGCTTCAATAAGAAGTATAATAATAATAATAATAATAACAACAATAATAACAATAACAATAATAATAATAGAGCCTAGAGAGATGGCTCAACAGTTAAAAGCACTGGCTGCTCTTCCAGAGGACCCAGGTAGGTTCAATTCCCAGCACCCACATGGAGGCTTACAATTATCTGTGACCTCAGCTCCAAGAAATCCAATGCCTGCCCTTTTCTGGCCCTCTTAAGTACCAGGCATGTACAGTGTGCATGCAGGTAAAACACACATACACATAAAATAATAAAAATTGTTAACTAATAGTGGGAAAAGATGGAGAAAGATGAGATTATAAAATATTAAGAGCTATTTCAGGAGCAAAGTAAGGATCTCATGTAGATTTTGATTAAAATAGACAATTTTGAAAATCCAACATAAAGGAAAAAGTGAACAACTAGATACTTGATATTAAAAATTACTGTTTGGGCTGGGTGGTGGTGGGTGCATGCCTTTAATGCACTCAGGAGGCAGAGGCAGGCAGATATCTTTGAGTTTGAGGCCAGCCTGGTCTACAGAGTGAGTTCCAGGACAGGTTCCACAGCTACACAGAAACTCTGTGGGGGAGCAGGGTAGGGACCAACACTATCTGAAAGTTGGTAAAAGGAAACATTTATCCAGCTTTTCCCATGAATTGCATCTCTGAATAACAGAGAGTTAACATGGAAACTGTGTTGGTTTTTTTGATCCAGTGTCAAGCCCTGAAAAAACCCATCTCTAGGATTTATTCTGGCTCTGGGTTTCAGTAGCTTCTGTATATCTGGTGAGGAGGTGCAAATGTGCAGCTCCCAAAACAGCATCACCAGGAAAAAAGAGAGAGGATACTTATGCTGTGAGCTTCCCCTGATCCCACTGAGATCCCAGACTTGGTGACCGAGTCTGATGTCTGGAATGCACCACCCAAAGTGGAAGGAAAGAATCAACTCCACAAACTTATCCCCTGGCCTCTACACGTGTTGACATGTGTGCCCTCTCACATCATACATACACACATTAATAAAAATAAAATTAAAAAAATAAAAGCCAGGGGGCTGGAGAGGTGGCTCAGAGGTTAAGAGCACTGACTGCTCTTCCAAGGGTCCTGAGTTCAATTCCCAGCAACCACATGGTGGCTCACAACCATCTGTAATGAGATCTAGTGCCCTCTTCTGGCCTGCAGGCATAAATGCGGATGGAACACTGTATACATAATAAATAAATAAATCTTAAAAAAAATAAAAGCCAGATGAATACCTATAATTCCAAGTCAGGTGTGGATGTTGCCTTCGACACACATGTCTAATTTTAGTTGCCATTTAACCAGCTATTGAAAGGAGGGGCAGACACTTGGGAGATGACATGGATGACTAGCTCTGGAGGGTACAGACCTCTTGAATGTCCTGATGGTGTCATCTGAGGACTGGGATCTCCACAAAAGGACAGAGGCATCCTGAGTTTCTCTGTCTCACTTTCTGTGTTGCTCTTTGGCATATTATAGGGCAGTGTGATGACCCTTGCCTGATGCTGATGCTGTGTTCTTGGAGTTCCTGTCCTCCAGAGCCATGAGCCAAATCAATGTTTTCTGTTGCTGATAAATGTGTAGTCTGTCCTAGTCTATGGCAGAAACAAAACAAGAGACTAATATAACACTCCATCTTTCCATCTCCTTTCTCCTGTTCCCCTCTTCTTCTCTCCCTTCCTTCCTCCCATTCTCCTTTTTAAAATGACATTTTAAAATGACATTTTTAAAATGACTTTATTGCCCAGGCTAGCTTTGAACCTGCTATGTCATGGAGGCTAGCCTTGAACTCTTTTTGTTTTATTCTTCCATCCAAACAGCAGTTTCCCCTTCCTCCCCTCAGCCAACCTCCCCTTTCCCCTAG